ATTTTGAATTTTTGGGTTGTGTATTCTGGAATAGTACCAAGTTGGAATTGCGGAAAACCGAATGGCGGTCCCGGCGCGCGGACAAGTCTAGCATTTTTACACTGCTGGTTCATTAGTATAAACTCAGAATGGGGACGAAGCTCAAATCGCAGAAAGTCCACTTATGGTGGTTTAAGACGCTATTACTGACAGTTAATGGTGTCATAAACTATTTTTTAAAGCAAAACCTATGATTATAGCTGTCATGCTAATTCAAAGGAAAGAGCGCCGCTTTACCTTGCAAACCTAGCTACGATGTAGCCGTTTAGTTCCCGTTTCTAAAAGATTTGAACAAAGACTCAGATTTACTGGAGATTTGGTTACCTGATCCAAATGCGGAAAAGATTGTAAGATGAGGATTACTCATATAGAAACTACTGATTCGATTAGCCATTCGTTCATTCCGTTTAGCAATTATGTCGTCTCGAAGCTGACGATCGATCTGAGTATTCTCATCTTGAATGATTGTCTCGTGAACACAAACCAATGTAACCTTATGTGCTAAGGCTCGTTCTTCTGCTCCAGTATCAAATCCAACAGTTCGCAGCTCATACAAGTGGAAATAGTTCTCATCAAGGTTTCCACATCTATAGCCCTTCACCAGAGCTGATATGGACCGCTCAGTATTGATGACAAATAGCCGTTCAGTGATTTGTAGGTGCTCCAAGTAAGCTGTAGTGTAATTGATTGCGAAAAGTATCTGCAAAACTCAGGTGTTCGAAGGCATGTTTTTTCGAGTGATAGTCAGCCGCTCGGCTAGTTGTAAGCATCCGCATTCATTTTGAACTTATCAAACAATAAATGCCAGTGGAAGATGTGGTGATCAGTTAGCTGCTACCATGTCAGCCACTTGTCACTCAATGACAATTTGGCTGGAAACAAATTTTCAAATGATAAAAGTACAACTACTTGAAAATTGCAATCTGAATGGTTTCTCTGTTTCTTCTACTTCTTAGGTTAGCTGTAGCCAGGGCTCGGCACGAGCTGGCACCAGGAAAATTTCAA